TGCTAGGAGATTTTTTACGAGGCATCTCAATGAACCGCAGCTCAAACGTGTCAGCATGACGTATGATCCATCATTTGTCATATTCACACATGTGGCGATGTTTCAGTGCGCAGCGTGGCCTCTTGCTTTTTAGTGGAAGTATCTTTAAGGTGAAGTGTGCATCAGATATAACTTTACATTCCCATCTAAACACAAGTGAGATTTTCTTAAGTTTATGCAAACACAAAAGTTAACGCACTCGCTTAGTGTTTGTGATTGAATATTAAACTCGTATCTCGCAGTCTTTTAAGATATTAACTTGTAATATCAAATTGGTAAAAAGATGATAGTGTTTACAGGGTGTAATATTGGGTGGCTGTGCTTTATATTATTAATGGGGTTCCCTTTACAGCATAGTGAAAGTGGCCATAGTTCAAATCATCAGAAAGCACATAAATATAAATAGAAAAAGATCAAATTTTGTCATTGTCAACGCTTTCTTTGCTACTTTATCTTTGCTTTGAAGTTGTCACATGTGGGGGAACCAGAGGAACCTCAGTGCCTCAGTTGTATTGTGGGAAATTTAAAAAAAAGAAAAAGACAAGTTCTTCATATTACGATGAAGCATTGTGTGACCCCCATCAACCATAATGAGTTAACTTTGTCCACCACACATTAGACAACCTCCTTCACACTCATTTTCACCACTTTCATTAGCTGATGTCAGTTTGATGGTTAATCATTACAATTCCAGAGAGTCAAAGAAAAAAAATCTCAAAAGGGTCTAAAAATAGCATCTAAAAACAGTCTTTTGCACTTGTGACTTCCACTTCGGAGGGATCTGAAGCTACTGTTGCCTGCGTTATGATTAAGAGGTTCCTGAAAAATATCAAAACATTTCCACTAAACTCGATCACAACACGTGTTTGGGTGTCTGAACTAATAAAAAAAATGTCTCCAATAGGCAGCCACAGGCTTTACATTTCAGTGCTGTGAGACAGAAAACTCATCCTGTGTTATGTAGAGTCCCTCCTTTTAGCCCTTTAACAAACATTCACTTCTTTGTGAACAAGCCAGAAACGGATAAATCCTAAATAAATGGTTTCTGTTCTTGAACCCTTTTGAATACAGTTCTGATCCTGGAGTTAACTGTCAGAAAAGTCTGAATTAATTGAAGGGATTAGCAAACCAGATTAACGGCACAAACAGTGTGAAACAAACATTTTTAAGCTTTTTCTCACTTACTGTACTTTTTGAATTTTCTATGCACTCCTGTTTTAAAATAAGTAACTGTTGCGGCAGTGAAACTGGGATCACAGAAGTTCACAGAGCTCGAATCATGAGGCTTTGTGCTTTCAAACAATGTAAAGTTTATCCAGGTAAATAGAGGAATCAACCAGATGTCAACCAACGTGGTAACAAACCCACCTCCAGGTTTACAACAACACAATACATGAAATATTTAACAAGCTCAACGTCTGAAAACAATTTCTTGTGTTCTGAATTTGTATTTTTATTTGGATTTGCTGAATGTTTCTGGTAACTTCAGGTAAAGTAAAAATTATATTTGATCTGTTTAATTGTGAGGTCAGGCTGGGTTAAGCAGCACTTTTACATAATTATCGTCTTGAAATGATGATAAATATCCCCAATTTCTAGATATTATCAGTCACCTTTAAGCATGATAAAACATACACAAATTCTTGAATTCCTTATATTTACAACCACCACAACAAAAAAGCATTTAGATTCCTCTGGTTCACTTCAGTTCACGTTCACCTGTAGAGCCTTATATCTGTCACATTATGGTACCTCAACTGACTCCATCTCTTTGTCAGTCTCCCTCTCTCTTAAGGATTCATTAGTCCCTATAGACTCCAGCAGCCTAAACATATTGCACCATTCAGCTGGTACTTATGTGTCATCTGTTATCTATTGGACTGGTGTTTGTGGTGAGCATATGAATGATAATCAGGCCTTTGTGTGTCCATAGAGGTGCAGCAGGATCTGCAGCCTGTGATGTTGCCTCAGGGGGAGATTAGGAGGGGCAGCCAGCCCTCTGTGTCACGTCGACAGTCACAGCGCCCATCCGCGGCTGGGCCAAACCCCACTGGGACCTTAAATCCTGTTACACTGTCAGCTAAAACCATCATTTGTATTAGAGATGTGTGGGTGTTTAAGTGTGTGTACGTACTAAGTGAGGGGGATAGTGTCTTAAACTATGAATTATTCATACCAAAAAGAAAAGGAGATATTGACTACATCTCCATAAACAGACTGCTCTCTTTATGTCATCAGGCACGAGATCTTTGGGTATAATTGCATAAAAGCCCCTGTAAATGTGCTTCTCCAACGGCACAGCAGGCACTGGTCAGTGTTATCATCAGGGATGAACTTGAGTGATGGCAATTGTTCCAACTTAATATCTTATAAATAATTTACTATTTCAGGGGCATGAACGTTAAGAAGCTTTACCAACCCACAGCTGTATGCTAGTTACTAGCACATGAAGCTGAATTAGTTTGGCTGGTTGGTTGGTGAGGGGAAACAGATATGGATGTGATGATACATGAACCTTATCATAAGTGGCTATAAATGTATATATTATTTTTTTTAGCTTGGGACTAGTGCACAAAAAGAGAAGAGAGAAAAATGTAATAGAGTTGTTGTAATGTGAGTGGGCTATTTCCCTCCATTATTTATCTCAGTAACAAGTGATTATGGAGAATGAGATTCTTTGCACTTCTGGCCCGCGCCTCCAGAGGGAGGTCAAAACTATTTGTCAGTCTCCAGTTGGGATTGCAAATTAGGATGAGCCTCCCTGCGTGGCGACCCATGAAACCTCTATTCCTATCCACAGGGTGACTGCTGTACATAATTTGAAAATTAGGGCCTTTGATAACATCTTTATGTTAAGCAATACATCAAGCTGCCAGACTATCTGCCGCTGCACAAAAATATATAAATAATAA